TCTGCAGAGTAAAGACAGCACTGCACGTAAGGGCAGCTTTGGGACCTCGTGGTGTCAGCGGGCTGTGTGAGCCCAGGGCCTCTGAGAGGCAAACACGAAGGTAGGATTAACGTACAAGGACAGCATGGGGGGAAATGCCTGTGTAGAGGAAACGGGAAGGGAGCAACGGCTGGGAGAGTTGCCAGACCACAATCAAGGCAAGTCTGACCCTGAGTGAAGGGACGGGAAGTTGGTGGACACGTCCTGACCTCCTGCAGAAGACTCAGCAGGGCCAGTGGGGCATCCCCGAGCCCAAGCTGGCTGTCAGGGGCGTCCCATTTGCCCCAGCATCCTGCAGATCAGCCTTGGCTGGGAGCGGGCCCAGGGAAGTAGGCCTCGGGCGCACATGTAGGGGGAGTCCCTGCGCTGGACACGGCGCTCCTCGCAGCTGTCACCTGAGCTGCTGGTCTGGGAGCCTCCGCAGCGCCCTCCTGGCCTGGCTCTGGAGTGTCTCCCTGCCGCATCCCACCTCTAGTCCCAGCGGAAATGTAAGCGCTTGTTCTCACCCTGCACAACGAAGCAGGGGCTCATACAGGCTGCTACGGGACACCCAGCCCACCATGGTCACCCCCGGGTCTGTGCAGGACGCCCAAGGGCCCCTGCAGCCAGGAGGAAGCAGCAGCGTGGGACCACCTCTCCTGCAGGTCCCACACCCTCTGGGCTACCCTCCCCTTGGGGTCCGTCTCAGGCATCCCCCTGTCTGGTGCCCCTCGCCTTCCCAGGCCCCGCGCCAGCTCTGCTAGGACTTCCTGACCAGCACTAGCCCCTGAGTGTCTGCAGTCTGTCTTCAGATCGATACTCCAGGCTGTAGTCCTCCAGCCCAGACCTACCGACATTCGCAGCCCCGCCTTCAAGTACCCAGGAAACCTCCTCCTCGCTGTCTGAGCCATCATTTTCTAAACTGTTTTAAACTCCAGCCTGGGCAGTGATGTCCCTCCCAGGCAGGGGAAGAGAGAGTCACAGGTGTTAAGCTCTTCCGAGAACAAAAATACATCAAATCATATTTCAAAGAATAGCATCTCACACCAGGGAGAAATGGAGCTTTAAATGGCTCTACGGGTGGGCAGGAAGGAGCCCTTTGGGGTTCCTTAGCTTTTGGTACCATCAAGTGGTGGTTGAGGTTTTTACAGAATGGACGTCATCTAATGAATATTTTCATTCTTCTGTTTCCCTGCTTCTATAAGACATTGGATTTTTATCTCTTCAACGGTTACTTAAGGGAAATTTTTCCCAAAAGACAAGGGAAGGTCCCTTTACCTTGGCAAACCCAAAATTAGTTAAATAGGCTATTTTTAAAAGTCGGTGACTGAGATATTCTGAATTTCTAAGAGGCAGCACTCAAAAGGGATTTTTTTTTTTTTTTTTTGCGGTACGCGGGCCTCTCACTGTTGTGGCCTCTCCCGTTGCGGAGCACAGGCTCCTGACGCACAGGCTCAGCGGCCATGGCTCATGGGCCCAGCCGCTCCGTGGCATGTGGGATCTTCCCGGACCGGGGCACAAACCCGTGTCCCCTGCATATGCAGGCGGACTCTCAACCACCGCGCCACCAGGGAATTAACTGTGATCACTCATATGCTCAGTTATAGGTACTGACTTTTTAATAGTACATTTCCTTTTTTTTCTTTTTTTTTTTATGGTGTGCTGTACAGCTTGCAGGATCTTAGTTCCCCAACCAGGGACTGAACCGGGGCCCCAGCAATGACAGCGACGAATCCTAACCACTGGACTGTCAGGGAACTCCTTTTTTGCTTTTCTTTTCTTTTTTTAAAGTACATTTCCATTTAGAAAGGATACATGCTGTTATACAAAATTTTCAGAATACAGGAAAGTATGAGAACGTTAAAATCACCCCAAATCTCGCCTACAGATGTCATTTTAACGTATTTTCTCCGTCTTTACAGGATCACAGAATGTGATGCACATACACCGTTTTGCCCGCACACGGACAGTCACAGGCTTTAGATGGAAGAGGGCAGAGATCATTGATTACGTCTGCCTCCAGCCTGTTTCCTAGTGACACAGGCCAACCACCACCATGGCCCCAAACTTCACCACGAAACGGTCCAAGTTATTTATTAAAGTTTTAAGGATTTAGAAAATCATTACCCCAGTTCTCTGGCCATAAAAATAGACATCATGGGCTTCCCTGGTGGCGCAGTGGTTGAGAGTCCGCCTGCCGATGCAGGGGACACGGGTTCATACCCCGGTCCGGGAAGATCCCACATGCCGCGGAGCGGCTGGGCCCGTGAGCCATGGCCGCTGAGCCTGCGCGTCCGGAGCCTGTGCTCCGCAGCGGGAGAGGCCACAACAGTGAGAAGCCCGCGTACCGCGAAAAAAAAAAAATAGACATCATATGATACCAGATAGCTCTGCTCTCATGGAGAAAAGAAAGAGCCTTTGGATAGAAGGTACCCATCCACGCAGGGAGCCGGGGGTCCTCCCACGGCACTGGGGCCGCAGGAGCTGGGGGAGAGGCAGGGGGAGTGGCCGAGGGCGCCCAACAGACTTGTACTCCACCCGGGGGCTCTGGCCAAGGTGCAAGAACCGGCGCTGAGCCAGTTCTTCAGATGTCGGCCACGCGGTCTTGTTTTTAGAACCTGCCTAAACCCACCATGTATATTCACGGCGGACGAGTGGGGCATTAAAGCACGGAGGGTATGGAACAGGCTCCCGACCCCCACAGGTGGCGTGGCAGGAGGACAGCACGCCTGGCCCAGGGAGCGCCCCCCACGTGTCTCTGAGGCCTCGGTTCAGGGAAACGGTTTAAACTACAAACAAACGAGATTCAAAATTCTGGGAGCAAGGACTAGAGTCACATCACTGGTATATGATCAGGACCCAGAGGACCATAAAAGCTCCCGGGGGCGGAGTCTGGGGGCTGCCACGTGTCCCTTTTCTGTACCACTGAGGCAGAGCCACGTCAATTACGCAAAACGATGAGGCCTGTGCCACTTGCCACGCGCCTCCGAGCAGCACTGAAGAATCCGAACTTGTTCCCACAGTGCTAAGAGTCGTCATAGGGGCAGAAGGAGCCCAACCTCTGACGGGGCATCAGGGCGGCAAAGCTCCAGAACCTGGAGGAGACGCCAGTTGAACTGAGTCGAGAGGGGCGAGGGCCGTGAGCCGCGCGGAGGGAAGGGGCCGAGGGACGGTGCTCAGCATGGCCTGCAGGCGTGGAGCAGCTGGGGAGGCCAAGGGCTCCGGGACTTGGGTGCAGAACCCACGGAAGGGCTTCGGGCAGGAGAGGGGACCAGATCTGCCCTCAGATCCCTCTTATGTCCCTCTTATGTGAGGCCGTAGGAAGGAGGTGGGCAGGGTCCCAGGAGGCTCTGAGCTTGTCCCAGACGGAGGTGGTGTGAAGGGGGCCCGGACGAGGCCAGCAGTGGCGGGATGGCAAGGAAGAGAGAGGCTGAAGGGGGGACACCCGGTGGAGACAGGGCAGGGTATGGGAAGAGTGCCCCAGCCCTGCCCTGGAGCCAACAGCGGGGGACCAGAGGGATGGCCACCACCTTCCTCAAACAAGGCCGTCAGGGAAGAAACATAGCTCCGCTCCGCTCCGGCCCGGATGCACTGGGCCCAGAGAGACACCAGCCGGGGCACAAGCTTTGGTCACAGCAGGACACGCGGACAGCACCCAGTCCCTCAGCACCGAATAGCTGCGGGGACCACGGACGGCAGAGGGCGGGCCGAACTGTGTGGCTGTGAGCAACTCGGCGGCGAAGGGAAACGTGGCTGGAAGGCGGGGGGACAGCCAGAGCCGCAGGGAGAGGGGCACAGAGCGGAGGACGGGAGGCTGGTGTCTGTTCCTTGCTTTGGTTCTTTCATTTAATGACGGAGAAAGGGCTGCACGAGAGGCACCGACACGAAGAACTAGAGGAGATGAGGAGAGAGCAGGGTGAGGGACCCGGGCCCACGGGGTGGGAGCTGGTACGAGATGGGCGCTCTGCTACTCAGCACCTCCGACCATGCGGGGAACCTCAGGGGAAGTCAGTAGACAGAATCCGATCCCAGTCATGGGCTTTCAGCAGCTCAGATGTCACCCCCACCCGCCTCCTCGGGGAGGGACAGTGGACGGTGCGGTCAGCCAGAGTCCCTGTGGGTGGACGGCAGGATGCTACCAACAGCACGGAGGCCCCGCTGAGCGTGCACATAGCAGGGACTCGAGAACAACCTATGAACAGTTTAAGAGTTTAATGAATAAATGAATAATGTCTGATAAAATTACAATAGGGTCTCTCGCCCCAGAACGAAGACAGCTCAGTGTTCAGGCGCTGCCCCAACCCCGGGAAGTCAAAATGGTCACTGTATGCGCTCAGCTGAGAAGCCCGTTTTCACTTTTCAGGTTTGCTTACTTAATGCAGGGCTCACATCCATGAGATGGGGCCCCAAAAGCCCACCAAAAAGCCCCCCCCCCAAAAAAAACTTTTCCTTAGCGTACACAAAGGAACATCCAATGGGAAGACAGACAAAACAACAATCCCACTAGGAGGCTGTTTGGACCAACGGGTAAGACCTCCCTCCCCTCACCGAGAGCAGGGTTTCACTGGTCTGACCACAAGAGCTGCCCCGAGCATCGCAGGGACAGCAGCCCATCGGTCGCCGTGTCACTCACACCCCGGGACAGGCGTGTGACTTCTGGGGTGGTTCCCAAACTCTCCTTCTGGGCGGCTGCCAGTACTAACACTTCTGTTTTATACAGAAAAAACTTCTTCCACAAGGAATTTAAGAAGGCTTTGCTGAATCCTTAAGTTCAAGGCTGAACACAGCCCAGCCAAGTTCAACCCCTCACAGAGAAGAGCTCCTGACAAAGCCGAGTGAAGCGCCCGCACTGCCCAGGAAAGAAAACCATCCGCTTCTACCTCGATCTCAGGGTTCACACCCGCGGTACAAGCCACTTTGTTTCTAAGGTGAGCTGCTTCATGGTTTATGGCAGTTACCCAAAACATGGACCAACACCGGCGCCCATGACACCTGGTTTTATTTTTCCCTTTACTAGAGCTTCGGCCGTTTCTCAGGGCTAAACCCCTGCCTATCAGCTATTGCTTTCTCTCTCAGCAATAACGGAGTCTTCTGCCCACCTGGTGTCCAGCTCCTATCGTCCCAGTTGTCCGTTCAGAAGACACTCTGGAACATTAGCTCAAATTCCCAGAGGTGTGGCTTCTCCCCGGTCATTTATAGAAAGAAAAGTTTTGGCCACATACAAAGGATTTATCATTGATAATATTTACAGAATTTCACATTCAACACATAACAAAACTCCTTGTAAGGACCGCGCAGATCCATATGCAAGTAGGATGTGATTTGAACAAACAGAAGCCAGGACGGCAGCCCCGGGATCACGCGGAGACGGGACGGGACTGCAGGCGGCCTTGCTGCGCTCAGGGGCGAGCTCCTCCCAGGAGAAACGCGATAAAGGCCCAGGTGGTGACTACGCCACAGACCCTGCAAGACAATGACACCGGTCAGCGGCCTGGATGGCTCGGGAGGCCCCGCGTGCGCCCAGCAGGTGTGAGAGCACCAGCGCAGGCTGGCCCCTCTTCCTTCCCGGCTACGTTCGCCCGGGTGTTATTTCCTTTCCACCCCTCTCCCGGCGCCAACATCCTCTCGAGGCTAGAATGGCTCTGGGACACAGAGGGCACCTTCCCCAGTGATTTATGTTGGAGGTTGAGGGGGAGAAGACTGCCTAGCAGCCAAGCTTTCTCCTTCAACGATGTGGTTTTCGACGGGTCTGGCTCCTAACAGGAAACCAAAATCCTTCAAGCTCATTTAACAGCAGCTCTGTCTTCCCAGTTGCTCAGACCAAAACCCTGGGTTTAAACTCGACCCTGCTCCCGTCTGTCTGATCCCACCTTCAGCACCCCCGACTCCCCCGACCTGCCACCAGGCGGTCCAAGCCGCAGCCGCACAGTGTGACCAGGTGACCTGGCTTCCTGACGTCCCCCTGCCCTGTGTCCCCCAACGTCTCCACGCAGAGCCCTGCGCCACGGAACCTCCGGCGGCCGACCCAGCTTCTCCCGCAGCCCTCAGCCGCGCCCTCTGCTGGCCGCAACCCGCCGGCTTCCGTAGCCTTGCCTGCTGCTCCTTGTTTCGTCTGGTAGCTTTGTCACTGCCCCTCCACACGCCAGGAGCACCGCGCCCCCAAGAGGGCCCCTCCCCGCTGCCTTCTCTGCCTGGACACCGTCCCCCGCCCCGCGTCGCCGTGCCTGGCTCACTCCCCACCAGCGACACCCCCCCACCCCCGCCCTGGGCCTTCTATGAGGGCCCCGATCTTCTCCTTTAAAGAGCAACCTGCCCCCAGGCCAGCCCTCCCGCTTCCCAACCCTGCTCGTTTTTAACACTCATCACCTAACAGACCGTGCAGGTCACTCGTTTATTACCCCCACTCCAGTGCGAGCTCCACGAGAACAGGGGGTTTTGTTTCATCCACGGATGAAGCCCTGGAACCTAGGACAGTGCCGAAGACAGCACGTGCTCCATCAACGTCTGCTGAGCGTCACTGAACGACGTTTGGTCCAGCGTGCTGGTCAACGACCCCTTGCCCAGCGCACGCCGGCTAGCGAGCTGTGCTCGACTCACACCCAGCTGGGACCACCGGCAAGTCCGAAGCAGCCTCAGTCCCGGTCACTTACTGTAACAGGCAGCTGACGTTGGGGGAGTGTCTCCAGTAGCGGTACACGGAGACCTGCAGGGTGGGGTGGCACCTGTACTCCTTCAGGATGCTCCGGGTGCTGCCGAAAGAAGGACTCGGTCAGGCGCGCAAGCACCACAGCTGCTCCGGGCGGCTGGAGTGGCTGCGGTTGGAGGGCGGGGGCTGAGAGCCGAGGCACCTACTCCTTAAACTTATTGGTCAGAAGCAGGAAGTGGCTCCCCACCAGTCTCCTGACGTCAAACTTGCAGAGGTTCTGAAACTCGCGGTAGACTTGCTGCTCGCTGACCCCGGGCCACCTCCTGACGGTGACAATGAGGATGGGAGGGCGGATACTGGGGTAATCTGGACCCGAAAAATTCTAGAAGACAGGGAGGAGAACAGATTTTCCACAGTTCCTACTGACTGACTACCTACCCAGCTGGAAAATCCTGCGAGAGAAACTAGGACAGGCCCTGCGAGCAGTGGGGAGGAGAGGAGAGGAGGAAGGAACGAGCGAGCTCACCTTGGCTCAGGCGGGAAAACACAGGAGACAGTCACAGGCTTAGTGGGGCGTGAGCGCCCTCTCTGGCCGCGTTTGGTGGCCGTCAGAAACCCCTGATAGCCCCCAGAGCCCCAAGCTGCCTCCAGCCTCTGAATGGGGGGAGCAAAATGAAGTCTACTTACGATCTTGGGGACCCCGGCTCGGATAAGGTTCACCTGGTTCACATAGGGAGCCAGCACGTCGAGGTACAGCGGGAAGGAGGGCTTGGGGATGGGAAGAACCCTACGAGGACAGAAAACCCCAAAGCCTTCAGGCCCACGGGGGGTGTCCCACGTCCTCGGCCGCAGCTGAGGCTCTGGTGACAACGGGCAAGGTGCTGCCCGACACCCCCCTCCCTCCTCCCCTCACAGGCTCTGGGACTTCTGTTGACGGGCCTCCCCCACACAACCAGCGAGCTCTCACCACGGCCCGAGCCAAGGGAGAACTTCCAGGGGTCACCACCTGTTGGTGGCCGTCTGGTAAAGGCCCCTAGGCTCACCGACATCAGCCACAGGCTCAGGGGATGAGCGAGGTCCCTGTTCAGAGGAAGGTCCACTCCATCGCCCCTCGACGAGACTGCAAATGGCCGTCCCTCGCCCCACAGCCTTGTCCTGACTCAGCCTCGCCTCCACCCAGACACCACCATGTACCTGAGCACAGGCCCGCAAGAAAGCACAGCCCTTGGCACCAGGCAGGCCTGGCTGCTACGGAGCTTCTCTAAACCTAGGAGGGTTTCTAGGTTTTGAGGATTAAAAGAAATTGGGGCTTCCCTGGTGGCGCAGTGGTTAAGAATCCACCTGCCAATGCAGGGGACACGTGTTCGAGACCTGGTCCGGGAAGATCCCACATGCTGCGGAGCAACTAAGTCCGTGCGCCACAACTACTGAGCCTGCGCTCTAGAGCCCACGAGCCACAACTACTGAGTCCACATGCCACAACTACTGAGCCCGTGCACCTAGAGCCCATGCTCCGCAACAAGAGAAGCCACCGCAATGAGAAGCCCGCGCACCGCAACAAAGAGTAGCCCCCCGCTCGCCGCAACTAAAGAAAGCACGTGCACAGCAACGAAGACCCAACGCAGCCAAAAATAAATTAATTAATTAAAAAATTTTTTTTAATTAAAAAAAAAGAAATTAAGGACAAGGTCCAGGTACTAAGGCACCAATAAGCTCCACTGTCTCAGCTGCCCTCACAGTCAGAGCACAGCGAAGAAGGAGACGGGGGCGGGGGTTTCTTACTGAAGCTACAAGCCTTGCATCAATGTGTCATAGGCTATTTCTGTGTATAATACCCTTTACCAAAAGAGACAAATTAGGCAGTACCCACATTAACAGGGTAGAGTCTGAAGATGTTTAAGTCAGTCCCAAAGAACACAGTTTTGATCAGCTCCTTCCCCTGGCCTGCTAAATCCTACTTTTATTTAAAAAAAAAAATACCCTCTTGAATTTATGGCACGAGGTGTCTCATGTTGGATTTTTTTGTTTGTTTCTGTTACTTGATTTTGGCCGTGCTGCACAGCATGTGGGATCTTAGTTCCCCAATCAGGGATCGAACCCGTGCCCCCTGCATTGGAAGCACAGAGTCTCAACCACTGGACCGCCAGGGAAGTCCCTAAATCCTACTTAACACATGTACGCAGCAAGGATGTGCCACAGAATATGCACAGTTCACGTGTGCAGCTGTTGCCTACGAGCCCAGCACCGCAGGCATCCAGGATGGCGACGCCCTGAGAAAGTGCATTTAAGATTGCAATTTGAGGTTTTAAGAACCTTTCCCCTGTGTGCCTTATTCCAAGTCACTGCCCTCCTCCCCAGCCTGACTGTGTGAACCCCGAGGACGGATCACTTGTTGGCCTATATGCTTTGCCCTCCCACCTCACTGCAGTTTACTAGACACGAGGAAACAGGAGGGTGACAGACGGAGCAAGCATACCGCCCCGGGAACACTGGGGCGGGTGCGGAACCCAAGCCTCACCCACTGTCTTGGCGTCCTGACAGTGACTTTTCCCCAGGCCGACACAAGAGGCGGGGGGGCCAGGACCAGCCCCAGGGTGGGAGGAAGGCTGGGAAAGGCTGCCTATGGAGGAGGGCTGCTTCCATAAATGTGTCATTTACACAACGACACTTGCATCCTCCTTCTTCGGGAGAGTGTGGGAGCCCCGAGGTCTTGGTTTACAGTGAGGGCTCAACAAATCCTGACCACTGATGAGATCACAGGATGATGGGAACACTCACCCGTGCGCTCTCCATAGGAGCAAGTGGGCCACTTTCAAAAGAACTGGAAAAGAAGAAGCTAGAAATGTGACAGACGTCAAGGCGCAATCTGATCGCTTTTTCAAAATATGCAAACTCAGGCCTTATTTCCACATGTGCCACCCACCTGGAAGTAAAGGCGGGGGGGGGGGGGGGGGGAATAGGGATGGCGGGGGATGACTGAAAATAGGACAGGGGTCTCCCTTTAAAAGGGCAGCAACTCTCACCTGATCCGCACAGGAAGGCATCGTATGCTGCTTCATGGGGATACTTTGTCTCAACTGAAGTGTTTTTCCAGAAGCAGGAGAGACGGTTAAGCAGCGATTAGAACACAGCCCGGGAAAGGACTCTCCCCCAACCCCGCCCCAGTTCCACACCCACGTCGGCTGTGCACACACAGCCAACTAGCGGTTGTTCCTGCAGAGACCACGCACCCTTCTCTCAGCCACACCCCACTGTGACCTAGGACCTCCCCACGGCAGCAAGAGCGCCCACGGGAGGTGGAAGCACAGGGCTTCCGGACAGACGGACGCCCCCGGGACCTCCGACGCCTTCTGGGACGGCTCCTTTCGATCGGGCGGTTATAATATGGACACGGCACGGGAAAAGCCCCACCCGGCCCTCCCACACCTGCCACGTGGAGACCCGGCTTGAGCTCCAGCACCTCAAAGCCGTGCCAACCTCGGAGGAGCACAGCTCAGGCAAACATACGTACCGTATTTTTCACATTTGCTTGCATGAATAATCACTGGCCCAGAATTCTTGGTGGGATTCAAGTCACTATTAGAGAAGAAAGATCGATAGAAAACGTTCGCTGACAATCCTTTCTCGTTCTCCCCTCATCCTCTTAACAAATAAAAATGTCCTCAGTACTGGGACTCCTTGAAAATCACAACGAAACACAGCTCTAATATAAAATAAGACAGACAAAACAAAACACGGATCCAGGCATGGGCAGACAGGTCTTGGTAACCAGGCAACGGGACAGATGAAAGAACAGCAGAGCCAGAGGCTCCAACCGCGTCATTCTGAGCATTTACCAGACGCAGGACCCCAGCCCGGGCACCAGGATCAACCCTATGCTGGCTCTGCTGTTCGGCGCGTCCTAGAACAGCTAGCTCTGCTGTTCGGCGCGTCCTAGAAATGCGACGCCCGAGGCGTGAGCAGTGCACGCCTGGCTATCGAGGGACAGGCCTTCGGGAGGGAAGGCTTCCTGAAGTCGGTGGTCCTACAGGAGAGTCCTGAACCCCAGGGACTCACCTGGTTGAGGAAATGGGGCAGCGCCAGACACTTCAAGCCAAGAGAAGAGCACGCAGAGACAGCGAGGGAGAGGGCGAAGCCCGCAGTGAAGGGCAGGGGCCGGGAAAGAGCTCGAACGTTACGGGGGGGCTTCAGGAACCGGAGGAAGACTCTGACCAGAAAAACGGTCAAGTTCACATTTTAAAAGATCACTCAAGTGGCAGCCCTGCAGATAAAGTAGGTCAGGCCACCAAGCTACCCGGGGAGGAGCTACTACCACCATTGGAATAAAAAATAAAGGCCCCAGGGAGGGCAATGATCCTGGGGATGCAGAAAAAGGAACCGGTTTCCAGGACATTTAGGGAGTAAAACCTACAGGCCTTGACTAGAAGACGCTGGTGGCCCAGCTCTGGGTCTCCTTCCAGGTCTCAGCTCTGGCACATGGGTGAACGCGGCTGGCATTCGACAGGGAAACCGTCCCTTCATCTGTTTTCCAACAGAATCTATCGGTACCTCTCTATATGCTTCATATCTCTGAACCCTGATTTCCTCATGTGCTCCTAAGCCGCAAGGCGGCCATCGCTCGGGGGGCTGCTCTCAAGGTGACTCACGAAGCTAGTGAGAAGCAAAGCTGGGATTTACACCCAGCAAGTCTCGATGCAGAGCCTGCGCGCTGAAAACAAGATTCTCTCTCACACCTGCACACGAGCCATCGGCACAGCGCCTGGCGCCGTCGGGATGTGGCAGAAGTTGCTCCAGACACGGAGCGGGTTTGACGGGCAGAGAGGCGGGCCAAGCAGAAGGTGCCTGCGGCCACGTGGTGCAGGAACAACCAGAAGGTGGTCAGGACGCGAGGAGTCTGGAGCCGCGGTGGCACAGACGTGGTGGTCGCCGAGGCTGGGGGTGGGTGGATTCGGTCACCCAGGGGCACGGTAACGAGGAAGAAGAGGACAGTGGGGACCCTGGAAAGATGTAAGGGACCGAGTGGAAGAACGAGAGCCCGCGAGGAAGAGATTAATACACTCACCAGAAAATAAGAGAAAGCCGGGAGAGGGCGCAACGGCAGGGAAGGGGGCCGAGGGGCCCAGGGTGTCAGACGCCAGACAGAAGTTAACACTGAGCACAAGCGCCTGCCACGCCCTGTTCCAAACGCCTGTGCGCATCTTCCCATCAGCCGGGTCCCGATACCCAGATCGAGTTCCGTGGAGGGGAGGCAACCTGACCTCAGTGGGCCCAGGAGAAGGCGAGGCCTCTGAAGAGGCCTGTTGTAGACAGAACAAGGACAGTGGTGGCAAGAGGGGAGACCGAGGGGAGCTTCACGTTTTCTGAGTTAGAAGAAAAATGCTGACGCTGAGGGAGAGGCTGAGGACACGGCGGGGGTCAGGGGGGCACGAAGGGCAGGGAGGCTGCTGAGCGTTGGGAAGGTGTGGGGCCAGGAGGACGGACAGGCCGTGGGAAGGCAGCCCTTCGTGCCTTGGCCCCATACACAGCAGGCGTTCCCGTGTGCGGGCTGACGGGAGAGACAGCAGCGAAGAGGTTAACACCGCGCAAGTGTCTGCAGGGGGCTGAGACACTCCCGCCTCTAGCCTCTTGTTTTCTTAGAAATGAAGGCCAGGAGGGCCGTGTGAGAAAGGAAGAGATGAAGCCTAAGGGGCCAGAGGAGACGATCACATCGGAAATCACTGATGCCATGAGCCGAAAAGAGCATCTATGGGAGACTCAAGAAGCCAGTGCGGCTCCGGCCAGGCATCTTCAGGGGCCCCCGTGCCAGTGGCCGGATGACAGTGAGCCACAGAGACACAGCTTCTTTCCAAAAAGGTCTCACCTTCAACTGCTCCCGACGCCACCCTCTCCCCGCTCTGGTTTGCTGGTCCCCCCAGTTGGGGACAAAGGAGTGGGCAGAGAAGTCCCCATACACTCCAGGCCTTCCAGGCAACACACTCCTGCCAGCACATGCCCGCAGCGTGGCTGGGACATGAGGGAAGACAGGGTCGCTGTTCCTGTAGGAAGGGCAGGAACTCACCCGGTACTAGGACCGTTCACTCACTCCAGTGTTTAATGTGCACCTACTATGCCTCGCACTGCTGTAGGCCTGAGAGAAACATCAAGGTCCAAAAGAAGAACAAAATCTGTTCCCATGGAGCTAATCACTCCAATAATCAAACAGATCACAGGAAAAATAAAACCCTGGCCAACAGAAAGCACCAGATAATTAAACAGCTGTAGGTATCTGACCAGGCCCCTTCCCCTCCAGAAGGGGGTTTTGCAACCTCAGTACCAGTAACGTTTGGGGCTGGAGAATTCTTTGGGTTGGGGGCTGTCCTGTGCATCCTGGCCTCTACTCACTAGGTACCAGTAGCACCCCTGAACCCTAACGACCAAAAACATCTCACTGTTGCCAAATGTGCCCTGGGGAGCAAAATCGCCCCAAGTGAGAACCCCTGATCTATAAGCAGCTCCGAAAAACAGCTTTCTTACCTGTTTAGGACTTCATAAACTTCTAAAAGACTTGAAACCCTTGGGAAATTCAGCTCCTATAATATGGAAAACAAATTAGGGAGAATAAGACATTTGTAGTTATGTTTATTATCTGCTTCAGGTATTACCAAATGGCCACTAAAATGACCTGGAAAATGCAAACTCCTCTCAACTCCTCTCTTCACATACACCTATCTTTATTCCTTAATTCGGGTGTCAGGGTACCTAGTGTCCTTGGGTTTTCTATAAGGGACCCGGCAACCCAGCCTAAGAAAACTGCCACAAACACAACACAGCAACTTCCTTCAAAGACAAGTGTTTTTGGGGTTTGAGAAACACAGGACTCCAAGGCACAAGACTGCGGCCAAGGACACATTACGGAGGGCACTAGGTACTCTAAGGGACTGCCAGGTCACCAAGGCCTAGAGTTCACCTCATCTCACGTGCAGTGGAGACTGATTTGCACTAGTTGCCTCAGATCAGCCCCCGCGTCCTTCCCGCTTCGCCCTAGAACTCCGTTCCGTGGAGATGGGCAGCGTCACAGAACACCGTCAGCTAGAAATACGTGAGGTACGAGTAATGCGTGTGTCTCTGGGCAAAGATGTACCAAGTAGCCCAGTGCCGTTTTTGTGGTTTCCTTACCGAACAGTTCATTCTGATCAGCTTAAAGCTTTATCTACAACACTGATCTGCCTCCCCTTGCTTGGTTCCTCAGTTTTAACTTCTAAACCAGCTGGGTGCTTCCGTCCTCCACACCACCTCAGCTGCAGAACAGAAGTCACCCGGCAGCTGTAGAAATGCCACTCCCGGCCCCTCTACACCAGAGAAGCTGAAGGTGGGGTCTGGGTGCCAGTGTTTACCCTCCCAGGTGATTCTAATGTGTCTGGGTTGAAATCCCACGGCCCTAATGCTCAGTAAAGATAAACTTTTTCAAGTGGGATCCCTGCCCCCAACCCTGACGCTCTTTAAGCACGTTGCAAACACTCACTGTGTACACACCAAGCTCTAGAACAAGTTGTTCTGCTGTGCTATCTAAGTAAGCCCGTGAACTACACACCAGGAAGTCAAAACGTGAGAACTTGAATGAAGGAAAGAAAAAAAAAAATCCCACATAAGCTAGCATCACTCAGAGGTGGCAGAATAAAAAAAGAAAACCAATACTGGCTGCAAAATACGAGCAAAGGGTTCAAGGAAACGTTCAAGGGACGCATGCTCTCGATCTTCTGAAAAGAACGAGAAAGCTAAGCGTTAGTGGGACGAACGAAGCATTCCTTTCCCCGGAGCAGTTTTACTTATTACCTTCCAGATATCCTTGGCCACACTTTTGGTGTCAATGAGAACAGGAAATAGGTTGTGGATATTCACCTTAAATTCTTCATAGCTTTCTGAAGGGAGAGACCCAGACAGTCAGAAGTGAGTTCATTGGTAAAAATGGGAAGAAATTCTCCAATCTAGCTCGTCACCAACACTGGCTAATAAAGCAAGTAAAACAAAATAGGAATTGAAGACATCCTTCCTCCTAATCATCAAGGATTTCTGAATCTCAAACCAACCTGACATCACCATTTGTAACAGCAAAAGCTAAACGGTTTTCCTAAATTCAGGCCAACATTAGTTAACGCAATTTGCAAAGTTCTAGCCAATGGAAAAGGGAGAACGAGGTATGACTGGAAAGGCAGATGTGAAGTCTGTAAATAACTGTTCAAAGAAAAATCCAGTAAGTTAAAAATTATAAGTGCCTTGATAAAAATTACCTATTAATTCACGTATTTATCAAAATTATACCTGCATGTAGTTGTCTGCAAAACAAACCAACCCAAACCCCTCTGCTAGACCTCTTCTCACTGCCCTCCCATTTCCTATTCCCCAAAGGCAACGACCTTCCATTTTTTCTTTCGGAGTTTATTCCCACATCTCTAAATAACATGCTTACGCTGCTCGGTGATTTCCCGGTTTGGGGCCCTCACTAACTGTTGACTCCCACGAGGTAAGAAAATAATCACCCCTTCTACCTCGTACGCCTCACCGTTGAGAGCACCTGTGCATTACTCACCCAGGGGCCAGGCGGTCTCCTCCAATGACTTCCTTTCTGGCACAGCTTTTGTTCCAGCAATTTTTTTGTTTGGTTGTTTGCTTAGTCTCTCGGTGAGCGATTATCTTACCCTTAATTCTCCCCAAGTTCTCTCAAGATGCTCAAACTGAGGTGTTTTTTTTTTATCAATTCATTTCCTAGAGAACTCTCTCCTAGAACCTTCTCACCCCTTTCAATCTACACTGGTGTTCTCAGTACATCGTTAGTTCATTTAATCCCCAAACAGCTCTGATATCCATACTGGTGATATCATTTCCCCCGTGTTACAGACGTGGAAACAGAACAGGCACGTGTAAGTAACTTGCTGAGATCGCACATAACAATGGTGGGATGAGGCCTCAACATGACATCTGAATGCGTGCTTTTAACTGCTATGTCACACTTCTGTGTGTCCAATGGCATCAGTCATGGAAAAGACTGGGACAGGCATAAGTCAGTACCACGTGGCCATTAAATGATTTTAGGTTAATGACATAAATAAATGCTTTTGGCAAGTGAAGAAAAGCCAAAATCAAAATCATATACGCAGTGTGGTCAAATATGTAAAAAGCCACAACAGAGGGAAAAGCAAAAAGTGTCAGGATTATAGCTGCGATTACACGTCCCCTGCCCGTCTCTGATTTTGCTAAGTCTTATGCAATGAGCCTGAACAACTTCCGTAACAGGGGGGAAGAGTATCAATTCAAATGTAAGTTTTTCTCCTGGAGAAAGTCCCCCAGCTCCAGGAAAATGGTAACAGGCACAGATGTACGCGACCTCTCCGGAAACCTGTGAGGCCCTGGGGATGGCTGTGTGTGTAGGGGCTCCCTCAGGGGCACGATTCTGGGCCAATCCCCTTGCCAGATGGCAAGCTAAGATCAGAGGAAGGAGAAGGATGGTCTGTCCCTACCTGGGAGAGGTCTGAAGAACTTCTCATGGAGATGCAGCAGATCCATCATCATATTATGTCCCACTAAGGGCTACTTGGAGGAAATCGACAGGTGAGAGAAATGAAATTTTAAAAGTAAAACAGACGCCATAGACTAACTGCTGTCTCCGGCAAAGGGTGTAGCTGTAGAACCCACTGCATTCTGACGACATGGTAATCCCATCCCCACCTGCATTCCACTCCCATGAAAGGTAGCCTGACTGCTTAAAGGCCAGAAAAGCAAAGCAGCGAGTCAGAGGGACTCGAGGCCTGGGCCGCACTGGGAATCTAAGCTGTGAAGCAGACATGTGCAGTCCCCAAGTAGTTTTAGGTCAATTAGTATTGAAATGCCCATGTGTCTGAAAGGAGCAAAGAACTAGTAATATTTCATAGGGACAGTCTTTCCCCAAATTAATCTGTCATGATTTTGTGAAAGCAAGGTTAGATCCATAAAGCCAGTTAACAAAAAGGAAGTCACTTATATTAAGGAATCTTAGCGTACTGTTGAAGGACCCGTTAGTACCTACAGCCAAAATTACAAAAGACTGCTAAAGACCAAGGAAAGAGATATTTTTTCCCTACCTTCTGGGCTTTCACCAGCATCTGGAAAAACACAGAGAAACCCCTCGCAGAGAGAAGAATCTTCTCCTGCCAACAGCTCTCTCGATCGCAAGAGGTGTTCTCGAGATACCAGCGATGCCGTTTACTCACTTTCTTCACTGTCACCTGAAAGGAGAAGTAGAGACAAGGTCCCTGTATCCTGGGTTCCTGGGAATGGGGCCAAAGAAGTGGTCCTTCATCTCAAAAGGGAGGAGGGGTGGGGGAGAAGAAGCCTTTCACAGAGGCCAGATTTGGCCAAACGAGAGAGAAATGATAGACCCACCGAGGCTGCCCCCCTCCAGGTGGGAACTCACCCCCTGGCCTCTCATCACCGTCCAGATGTCGGGGAGGGCCTTCCTCAGCACAAGCTGGACCTCGAAGGCCTGGAAGCCTGCAGCAAGGAAACAAGACTTGCACAGAACCACTGCAGACCCTGGAATGGCAGTCCACCCTCCCCTCAAGAGAAGCCCGAGAGGAAAAGCGGCTGAGAGATGGATGGATCAAGTGGAAAGACAGCTCTTAGGTATGCGCAAGCCCACAAGGCCAAGCGACAGGGATGGCACGGCATGATCTAGGGCAGCTTTCTTGAAGTTTCTGATCTCGGGGCCACTCTTAAATTGAGGACCCCAAAGAGTCTTTGTGTGTGTGGGGGTACGGGTCTTGATATTCATCATGTTAGAAATTAAAACTATACATGAAATTCAAAATCACCAAGTTTTAAAAATAATAAACCCATTACACTCTTGCCCATGATTTTGTAACATCATGTGGTGGTTATTTGGAGAACGCTGGTTTCCTGAGTTATACAGGCTATACAGTTATACAGTTTTCCAAGTTATACAGTTATCCAAGTGTTCACATATCATACAATACCATCAAAAGGCACTTGTACCTATGACCACTGATCTCATTAAAAAGGTCTCATAAAGTTGTCAAGCTTATGGTGACAGATGCAAGCTTTCCAAAATTCCAGTCTTTTATTGAAAGCTCAAATTTCATCTCTAGCAAATACTGTGAGTGAGTCTCCCTGAAGACAAGGCTTACTTTTTTCACTTGAGAAAGTGATTGAAAATACCCACATTGAAACAACCAGTCAGTTCCTTCAAGTAAAAATTATATTCCTTAAGGGAATTCCCTGGCAGTTCAGTGGTTAGGACTCAGCGTTTTCACTGGCGAGGGAGGGCCTGGCGTTCAATCCCTGGTCGGGGAACTAAGATCCCACAAGCCATGCGGCATGGCCCAAAAAAAACAAAAAATATATATACGTATATTTATATATACATATATATATTTATATATATACATACGTATACACACACACACACACACACACACACACACACACACACACACACACACACACACACATATATGCCTTTAAATAAATAAGTGAATAAGAGGGAGCTAATTCAGCTCTCAACACAAAAACCTGCACAAGTGCTTTTGCTCAAGACAACCACTGTACTTCGGTAGCAGCAGCAATGTTTCATGAACATTTATTTTTTCTTATTTTGATACACAGAATATTTTAAAAGATGAGCAATCAAATGTTGAGATTTAATAAAATTAATGATTATTATTTCACTAAAAAGAATTATTTCACTAAATTCCAAGTAAAACTGGAATTTTTGAAAACTGGAAGCAGTAACAAAGAATACGACTGCCAGCGCGGTCGGACGCGCCTCCCTTTGCCTGTGCTGGGGCGCCAGCCGCTCTGCCCACCGCTGCTGCAGGACCATCAGTGCAAACGGCACAGTGGTAATGGCAAGTGACAGCCGAGTGATATTCTGACAAGAGTTATGACCTTGTGAACCCCTTGCAAAGGGTCTCAGAGACCCCTGGGGTCCACCGACCAGGGCTGAGAACCGCTATTCTAGGGCAGGTTCATTGTGATCCCACATTGTCCCGTTGGGGGAAATTCAGAGAATTTCAGAGATTAACAACGGTAAAGCAAGAGTCCACAGGGCACCAAGGACTGGGGTAAGAAGGGTGGCTCCGAGTGGAACTGTACTCCCTCAACCTTAAAATTCAGAATCGGTTGAAAACCCTTCAACCTCCGAATTGAGGTCAGGGCTCTATCTAACCACAAGGACCATGCGTCTGCTGAGCTGCTGCCCAGGATCCACCAGGGGAGAAGGGATGCTCTCCCCGCCTCCAGCACGTGACAGCGGCCGGTTCCACAGCTCCCAGGCCGGGGAGCCACCTCCTGCCTACCGGTGATACCAGGGAGGGTCATCCAGTCGCCTTCCTCTGCCAGGTCCAGCCAGCGCGTCACCTCGTCAATCACCACCTTGATTTGGTCTTTATCCAGAGAACTGAAAATGGGCACAGTGAAGCGGGAATGCTGGGGAAGACCACAGAACCACGAGACAGCGCTAACGGGGGAGAGGCTTCTGAAGGCTCCCGTTTTAACACTGTGATCTCGGCAAGAAAATGGACCCCAAAGAGACCACTTCTTTTCTGAGTCTTGTTTTGCAACAGGAAGCCAATCACTTGGCCTCTACCCTCTGGTCTGTCCTCAGGAGCCCTTCTGTCCCTCCCTCGGACGGGCCTATGGGCAGGAGGACGCTGGGATGCAGCCCACACTGAACAACACCATCAGCCCTATCTTCTCAATGCTGCTCTCAGAGGTGAAAAAGCACCATCTGCTGAAGCATGGAAAAGACAGCAACTTTGGTAAGTACACCTTCTCCTGCGTTAGAAATATAAGGACATGATGTTATGTTGAGAAAAGGAAAGACTTTTCTCCAACACTTGAAGATAACAGAAGATTAAAAATTCAATTTGTTTTTCCCTTCCAAAAGGTATTTTTATATAAAACCACAAACAGACACTAAAAAAAAAATTCCCAGATTACATAATTATCTGGACGAGATAATCGTAACATTCCAGAACTAAAAGCTGTCTAATTTAACCCCTTCTTGAGACAGGCAAAGAGTCGCAAGCTCAAAGAGCTTAGAGGACTGGTTCAAAACCAGAAAGCTAGCGGACAGCAGGGCCTGTGTGGGCCCGGGCGGCCTGCTCCTTCTAGCACACAACGCGGCTGTGCAGGCCTACAGTACAACTGGGTTTCAAGTACAACAAGAGGCACTGGAGGCCAAAGAAAAAAGGCAGAGATCCTGCCCTGGGGAACACAGCAGCGTCAGGCACGTGGGGCAACGTGTCCAAGCCAAGGCATGTGACTACCTGGTCAAGGCTACCTGTGATTTACCTTGAAAAATCCCTAAGATCACGTGGGAGGCCAACATAACATCTCACAGGGAGGCCAACAGAGCCATCTTCCCCTCCAGCCCTGGAATGGGGTTCCTGCCTCTTTGAGTACCAAATTAACAGTCAGTTCTTTCTCCCCTCCATTGTTAAACACTAAAATCACACACTACCCAGTGAGAGATTTCTTATCTCAGGCCTGAGAACGGTATCACCAGCACTTCAGGCTGTTGCGTTTGACTGAGCGTGAGTCCAGGAAGCTACGCCAGCTAAAGGTGATGGTGTGAGGTCAGCCTATCCTGGAGACAGCACGTCTACGCACAGGAAAGCCAGAAACACACCAGCAGCAAAGAAACCCACAAAGCACCCGGAGAAGCAGGCTTTACCTGCGAACTCTCCAGTTCCCAGTCAGGATGCTGTGTTTAATTTTCTTCTCCTGTTCTTCGTTCATATATGGGATTCCATTCTTGAGAAACTGAAGATATGAACAGACAAGGAAACTAGTCAGAGGCATCCTCTGTGCTGGCAGCAGAGTGGAAAGAAACCTTCCTTGTCCGCGTTTTGAGGACAAGTCAGAAAGGGGACAGGAAATGGATTCAGACCAGGTGGGCTAGATAGCCTTGCAACCCTTCCCGGTCCCCTCCTCCAATGCTGTACCTTGTTATAATCGAAGCCATGCTCATTCAAAAACTGAACACTAGAAGCCTGGAAAGAGAACTCTGAATCCAAAATCCCAAACGTTGTAGGGAAGAGAAAGAAGTTACACGAATGGGCTTCATACCTAGAAAAAAAATACACATAAGGAGAAAAAGAGGAAAACCAGTTTTAGAATTCTGGCTCACACCACAGGCTTCTGAGTGGGCTCTTCCCTCCACTTGATAAGTACAGTTGACCCCTGAACAACATGGCGGTTAGGGGCGCCCACCGTTCATGCAGTCAAAATCTGCGTATAATTTACAGCCTGCCCTGTGTCTACACATGGGTACCGTCATTTTAGTGAAAAAAATCTGAGTGTAAGTGGACCCAGGCAGCTCAAACCCCGTGTTGTTCAAGGGTCCACTGTACTTGAATGTCAGCTATATCTCAAGCACTATGACTGGCATGGGGGTGGCCAATGAAAAAAGGCAGAGATCCTGCCCCTGGGGAACAAAGTCTGACGCCCTATTTGAGACAGTGGGGCTGCCATTCAGCATCCTTTCTGACCGCTGCCGCCTGGGAGGTACATCACCTTCATTATAACACTGTTAATTGCAATCCTGAAGGCACACACAGGAGACAAGGAAATGGGGAAAGGAGCACCAAAGGTACAGGGGTGCTGGGAAAGGCCCCCAGAGATGGTGCTGCTTTGAGCGACCTGAAGGACCAGCGGGCATCGGCAGGGGAGGGGGGTGGCGGGCACAGAAGCCTAAGGGTCTACAGAGCACCCGGGGCCAAAGCGCTTCAGAGCCTGACGCAGAATTTGAAGGGGGAGCAGGTGGAGAAGGCAAATGGGCAAGAGCCATGTGTTTTGCCAAAGGTCTTTGTACATACTTGTTTGACTCGCCTTCAATACTGGAAAACATAGACAATCCTAGAAGAATGATGGTAGAGAGAATGAATACCAAAAGAAAAGCTACCAGAAGTTAACTACAGAAAAACTTCTGAACAGTACTTTGCACCCAAAGTTATTGTACGAGCTTTAGGATAACTTCTAAAAAAGAAAGAAATGAAGAGAAGAGTCAAAACATGAGAACTGTCTAATTGTCATTCACACGGAGATTACTGAAATATAATTGTGAATGGCTGTTCAAACACAGAATGTTAAAATGACACTTCTATGGTTTTAAAACCAGTAAGAGGAAACACTAAGGAAAAAAAAGAGAAAAAAGGGATAATAAAAGAAAAAAAAGAGAAAACACTAAGATCTATGAAGATGTATACATTTAATTGCTTTAGAATGTCTGTACTGCTAAAAAGACCGCACACAAAGTGAAAAAGACTTTGAAGTGGGGAAAAACAATACAAACGCATCTAAGTGCTGTTTCCCATACTTTCAAAGAGGTCTCACAATTAAGAAAAACAATCACAACAGAATAATAGCAAAGGACAAGGACACAGACCAAAACACACACATACACACACACACACACACACACACACACACACACACACACACGGGTGTTCACCATCATTCACAGGAAAGGAATCAGTAAAATGTCTCATGACCTGTTTTTTAAATAAAGTTTTATTGAAATACAGCTATGCTCATTCATTTGTGTATTAACTACCGCTGATTTCTCATTAACAAGGGCAGCACTGAGTAGTTGTAACAGAGACAGTATGGTCTGCAAAACCTAAAATATTTAGTTTAGCCCTTTACAGAAACAGTTTGTTGATCCTGTATTAAAAATGTAAATCAGAACGGTAATTTTAGATCATTTTTTCTCTACCAGGTGGGCAAAAAATTAAGACTGGTAATACTCAGTGTGAGTGAGGGAAACAGACACATTCCCTGTTAGTGTAAGTCTCTGTAAACTTCTCAGATGGTTGGTAGGAAGAGCAATAGTTAGACAACAAATCAATACTTTAATGCACATACTCCACTGCTACAAGTATACCAAACACATACATTCACAAATGCACAGTAACATATAAACACTAAGACAGTCAATGCAGCCCTGTTTCATCACATACAAATGGTAACTAAAGTACTCATCATTAGGAGAGGGAGCCAACAGATACATTCAGTTTGGAGTGCTATGCAACCGTTAGAAACGAACAGGAGGGCTTCCCTGGTGGCGCAGTGGTTGAGAGTCTGCCTGCCGATGCAGGGGACATGGGTTCGTGCCCCGGTCCGGGAAGATCCCACATGCCGCAGAGCGGCTGGGCCCGTGAGCCATGGCTGCTGAGCCTGAGCGTCCGGAGCCTGTGCTCGCAACGGGAGAGGCCACAACAGTGAGAGGCCCGCATACCGCAAAAAAAAAAACCAAAAACGAACAGGAAATCTGTATAAGCTGATATAGAAAGATCTCTAAACCCCAGTCGTGGGGAAGAAAAAAAACGATGCAGAACATGTTTATAGTATGATCTTGTATATGATTTTTCTTTAAAGAAAACATACAAATTTTTCCCTGAAAGATGGTACAAGTTCCTTAATGTTGATTTAGGCATGGAGATCACGTTTCTGCTTATTCTGAAGTGTTAGGTCTCGCAGGCATGACATGGCCAAAAACCAAATGAGCACGCAAAACGATAGCCAGTATCTCACAAAGGCGCCAAAACTGTTTTCCCAGTAGGAAACACAAAGACAATTTTAAAAAAGGAAGAGGGCTTCCCTGGTGGCACAGTGGTTGGGGGTCCACGTCAGGGGGTGCGGGTTCGTGCCCCGGTGCGGGAGGATCCCACGTGCTGCGGAGCGGCTGGGCCCGTGAGCCGTGGCCGCTGGGCCTGTGCATCCGGGGCCCGTGCTCCGCGGCGGGAGAGGCCGCAGCGGTGAGAGGCCCGGGCACGGCAAAAAAAAAAAAAAAAAAAAAAGGAAGAAAGTCTCTATTTCAGTAACTTATAAGAAACAGCTGAAGATTAGACTCACCAATCTGACAGACGGTGAACTGCTGAACACTCTGACGGGTCTTGAGATACCACTCTGATGGCAAGTCAAACAGACTGTGAAAAAACAGGCATCTCAGCGCAGAGGCCAGCAAGGCAGCACAGCCTCCACGCTGGATCAGCACGTCTCAACCAGGCGCAGCATTTTCCTTGTTACAACTAGAGGACCAGCGTTTCGTGGACAAGGGCCAGGTCCCCAAACCCCACACAAAATGCTGTCCTGCCCGCCCAATGCCAACAGGGTGCCTGTCGGGAAACAATGCTGGCCGGCCAGGGTGTCGTCCAGGAGCGCGCGGCCGAGAGCCTCTCCAGCTCAGCTCTAAGGCAGTTTTAGCTTTACCTGATCTGCTGGGGCCCGGACGGGTTAGAACGAAGGCCAGTGAACTCTATGTCTAGACCTGCAGGGGAGGCAAGAAAGACAAGAGTCCCCAGGCGCAGGCCATCGCAAGGCTCTTTGTGCTGTAAACGCTGCTGGTGGTAAAAGTTCTGGCTCACCTTCTTGCTGCTCAAGAGGCCAGGAGAGGTCAAGAAGGGAGAACAGAGGAAGCCAAAGCAAGGACAAGCCAGGCCACCCCGTTCCACCTGGACCAAACTGGGGCCAAGGCTGTACCTGCTGCCTAACATCCCCCCCCAGGCCCGAGAAGGCACGCACCCTGTCCTTCGGAGGGGCCCTGTTTGAGCCTCCTGCAGCCTGGCAACCACCCAGCCGGGCCTCACCTCTCCGCCCTCTGCCGCCCGAACCACACCCTCCCGCCGGCCAGGGGGCTGCGGCGACGAGGCCCGGAATCCTGGCGCCTTACCCACGAAGTCCGCGCCCAGGACGAGCTCCTGCAACAGAGGGAGGCTCTGCTCGAACTCATCGGCGCCCACGTCCATGGCCACGCAGCTCCGCAGAGGGCGCCCAGTGCGGCCACGTGCTGCCACGCGCTTCCGCCGCGCCGCCGTCTTAAAGGGCTCGCAGCGGGGAAAACCGCTGCCCCAGCACACCGCCACCAGCCCCGGGGGCCTCTGACCGGCGGAGGGCGGCGCCGGCGCCGCCACCTGCCCACCCACGGGCGTTTGATCTTACACTTGGGCCCCTACGGTGAAGGGAAGCTTAGTTAGACTCCGCCCTGGCGCTCAAAGGCCATTTACCTTGCTCCGCAGCAATTTCTTCGCAATCCCTACAAGGGGAGAATATCATTTAGGTAGAATGTGAAGAGGAATGGTAGGAAAAAGAAGAGCCTGAGACAGTAGGAACGGACCAGTAAACAGCACCTGAAGGAATTGCAGTAGATCAGGTACTGCAGCTACGGTGCAGGGATAGAGGGACCGCCTCTTGTCGGTTTTCCAAATCCGCACTTCTTCCCAACTTGGCCATCGCCGCCAACATGGGTCTGTCCCATCTCCTTCCCAACAACCCGCCTTCTCCCTCTCTATTTTGCATCACTGCTGCCTTTGTAATACCTTGCATCAAACTTGCCACACAAAGCCTCAAAAATTGCCCATCAAACTGAAATTCTTGGTACAGAGATGATCTACATCACACGCCTAGAAAAAATCCCTACCTATGGCGTCCCTTACAGGTGAACCCTATTTTTGTCACTGTCAATTTCCAAAGCCACACTACTCCAGTCTGTGGTCTCCTTTGCATCCTCCCCTAAATTCTAGACTTGTCTGAACAGCCTTCTAGGACTGTGGTCTTCAAAGTGAGATGCTCCAATCTTGAAGAAGAGGGAAGAAAATGTTAGAACTACACTATGTATTTGTAAATGTGTCCACTGGGGTATCTGTTGATCAAAAGGGGACTACTAAGCCATTGCACTCTGAAGGCCTCTCAGAGTGAATCAAACTTTTAAAAAATGTTGGTGCATATGTATTTCTTGTTAAAATAATAATACACTGAATACTTAGATTAACAGTATCAATGTTATTTCACTTCTGTATAAATATACAATTGAGAGTACACATTTCAAATGTGGGGGGGAAATGCTCTAGAAGCCACTTTAACTGCTTACTGGTTCTTCCTCTTCATATTTGTCTTAAATAGCCAAAATCAGTTAACACCTTACTTTGATTTAGCCACTCATTTAAGAGACCCGCCGTGATTCCCATCTACCCCACTTCAATTTTAAATTAACCTGAATGTACTTCAAGCTTCATCTCCTACCTAACAAATTTTCACTTGATGGCAAACTTAGCATACACTAACCCTGTCCATTTCCTTTCCTCACTGCATTCCTTTCTTCTTTCAAACCTGGTTCTGTTAGGATCCAGGAGCCCAACTGAGGTTAGGATTTGCCCCTTTTATCTTCACATGACTGTTTATAATAAATTGACTGATATTGACATCTCTTATTAAAAAAACACCTCCACACCCTGAGTGGCAACCCAGCTACGGTGACAAATGCATAAACCTATGTGTACCCATGCCACAGTGAGCTCAAAGGCAGAGAAAATGTCATATAACCAGAAAATAAGAGTTCACAATATACCTTTATTCTTTAACTTATAAACATTTTTCCTCAAAAGTTAATTATAGGCTTCCCTGGTGGCGCAGTGGTCGAGAGTCCGCCTGCCGATGCAGGGGACACGGGTTCGTGCCTCGGTCCAGGAAGATCCCACATGCCGCAGAGTGGCTGGGCCCGTGAGCCATGGCCACTGAGCCTGCGCGTCCAGTGCTCCGCAACGGGAGGGGCCCCAACAGTGAGAGGCCCGCGTACGGCAAAAAAAAAAAAAAGTTAATTATAATTGGCAACAGCTCTTCTCAAATACTTCTCTCACGTCAGAGAGAGGAGAAGAATTTAGCCCTGGATTTAAAACAAACACACACAAGGGGAGAAGAGGACAATCTTAACTACTAATAACATTCCACTGTTAGGTTACTGTACAGGACGTCCAAGCTGGCGGTTCGTCTAGAGACTCTCTCCTGATGAACGAACAGCTGACAGCTTTACATTTACAAGTATCAAGCAACGCTTCTGCTTCATTCATAGATTCTCCGAGCCTCCTGCAGCACCACACCACCTTCTGTCATGGCACTCTGCAGTCGTTTCATCTGGTTTTGAAGATCAGGAAAAAAGGAAAAGATTAAGTCAACACCACAAGCTGACAATAGTTCACTTCCCAAGAGAAAGAGAAATAAACAACTGATTTGATCCTTGCTAACTTCCCAGCCTACACTGGTTTTTCAGAAAGTGACCTTAATAATGACACAGATTAGAAAAAAGAGGATGTAGAGATGTCAAGGATTAGCAGCATTTTAAAATATTCTATAGACAAGATGTTACTATATGAATAGGGAAGCAGAGTGGTCAACATTATGGCTATGAAATCGGTCACGTGGGTTTGAACCCTGCCCCGTGCCACAAGGACTGGGCCAGCCAGCCTCAGCTGACCTACAGAACATGAGTCCTGACACGCTATAGGCTGCTGTGAGGTAATGCACATCAGGATACTCACCTCAGGCTCTGACACTTGGAAACAACTTAATAAATGGAACTATTACTATGTAAATATCTAGTGTCAAGAATTAACACAATACCTTTTAACTAAGTACATGAAAACAAAAATACCGAGTCTGAGGCTGCCTCCCAAGGAGTTGGTTGGTAGACCATGAAGTTGATTCCTGCTTCCAAGCACCGCTCTGCCAGCACTCGTCCTACACTCTCACAAGCCACCACATTTCTGGTGCTATAAAGGTGTTTTTTAATGGCCCATTCACGAGTGGATGCCGAAACCACAGTCTGGCCATTGCGATGCTCAACAAGCGCGTCTATGTGATGCTGACTCCTTATAACTCGCAACCTAAATGAGGTGAGAGAATAAAATCATAAAAGAATTCTAAAGATAAATGACTTCAGGTGAATAAATGCCGAAATAGTTCTCAAGAATGTAATGTCTGGTTCATTTACTTCAGCATACTTAACCTGCCTTTTACTCGGGAAAGGTGTTTTCCCCTTGCTTTTATGAGAATATCAGCAGCAATAAACCAAACATTTCTACTTAGCCTCAAATATCCAGGAGAAATTTGGTATTTCTGACTGCTGAGATTTACACAGCATCTACTTCAAAAAAGGATTTGAAGAGGCAAAGCTAAGTTGCTGACCCTACACTGGATAAAAATATACTTACTACATGCTATTTTTTTTTTTTTAAAGGAAGGAAATATTTTATTTATTTTTTGGCCACGCCATGTGGCATGTGGGATCTTAGTTCCCTGACCAGGGATCGAACCCGTGCCCTCTGCATTGGGAGTGTGGAGTCTTAACCACTGGACCCCCAGAGAAGTCCCCTTACTATATGCTTTTATTTTCTAGCTAACGATTTAAATATAAAAACAGAAATCATAAGTGTACTAGAAGACAACATGGGAGAAGTTTTAAGTAATGTCAAACTAAGATAAACCTATTTAACTATATCAAGCTATTTAACATGACCTCAAACTACATCATATGGCTTTTGTTTAAAAAAAAATTAACAAAGTTTTCTGCATGCTAAGAAAAACAAAAAAACAAAACAGTAAAGTCAAAAGGCAAGCAATGAAACAAAAAATACTTTTAAATCATATATTGTGCTAATTTCCATAATATGTAAAAAGCCTCCTATAATCAATAAGGAAATGACCAGTAACTTAATAGGCAGAGGATGGACAGACTGTTCACAGAAAAGAAAAATATTAATGACTCTTAAACCCATGAAAATATGCCCAATCTCACTGCTAAATTGCATGGACAAGACAATTCATTTCAACACTGTTTGAAATCATAAAAGATAATCATCAATAGGCAGTCAGTTAATTAAAACAGCCATGCAACGGTATTTTATTTTTAAAATCTTTATTGGAATATAATTGCTTTGTAATGTTGTGTTAGTTTCTGCTGTATAACAAAGCAAATGAGCTATACGTATCTCCCTCCCACCCTCCCTATCCCACCCCTCTAGGTGGTCGCAAAGCACCGAGCTGATCTCCCTGTGCTATGCAGCTGCTTCCCACTAGCTATCTATTTCACATTTGGTAGTGTATATGTCAATACTACTCTCTCACTTCGTCCCAGCTTACCCTTCCCCCTCCCCATGTCCTCAAGTCCATTCTCTATGTCTGCGTCTTTATTCCTGTCCTGCCCCTAGGTTCATCAGAACCTTCTTTTTTTAGATTCCATATATATGTGTTAGCATATGGTATTTGTTTTTCTTTCTGACTTACTTCACTCTGTATGACAGACTCTAGGTCCATCCACCTCACTACAAATAACCCAATTTCGTTTCTTTTTATGGCTGAGTAATATTCCATTGTATATATATGTGCCACATCTTCTTTATCCATTCATCTGTTGATGGACACTTAGGTTGCTTCCATGTCCTGGGTATTGTAAATAGTGCTGCAATGAACACTGTGGTACATGACTCTTTGAATTATGGTTTTCTCAGGTATATGCCCAGTAGTGGGAATGCTGGATCATATGGTAGTTCTATTTTTAGTTTTTTAAGGAACCTCCATACTGTTCTCCATAGTGGCTGTATCAATTTACATTCCCACCAACAGTGCAAGAGGGTTCCCTTTCCTCCACACCCTCTCCAGCATCTATCGTTTGTAGATTTTTTGATGATGGCCATTCTGGCCATCCGTGTGAGGTGATAGCTCATTGTAGTTTTGATTTGCATTTCTCTAATGATTAGTGATGTTGAGCATCCTTTCATGTGTTTGTTGGCAATCTGTATATCTGTATATCTTCTTTGGAGAAATGTCTGTTTAGGTCTCCTGCCCATTTTTGGATTGGCTTGTTTTTTTTGATATTGAGCTGCATGAGCTGCTTGTACATTTTGGAGATTAATCCTTTGTCAGTTGCTTCGTTTGCAAATATTTTCTCCCATTCTGAGGGCTGTCTTTTTTTCTTGTTTATGGTTTCCTTTGCTGTGCAAAAGCTTTTAAGTTTCATTAGGTCCCATTTTGTTTTTATTTCCATTTTCCTAGGAGATGGGTCAAAAAGGATCTTACTGTGATTTATGTCATAGAGTGTTCACGCACATATGGTCACCTTATCTTTTTTTTTTTTTTTTTTTTTTGGTGGTACGCGGGCCTCTCACTGTTGTGGCCTCTCCCGTTGCAGAGCACAGGCTCCAGACGCGCAGGCTCAGCGGCCATGGCTCACGGGCCCAGCCGCTCCGCGGCATGTGGGATCTTCCCGGACCGGGGCACGAACCCGTGTCCCCTGCATCGGCAGGCGGACTCTCAACCACTGCGCCACCAGGGAAGCCCTGGTCACCTTATCTTTGATAAAGGAGGCAAGAATATACAATGGAGAAAAGACAGCCTCTTCAATACATGGTGCTGGGAAAACTGGACAGCTACATGTAAAAGAATGAAATTAGAACACTTCCTAACACAGTACACAAAAAGAAACTCTAAATGGATTAAAGACCTAAATGTAAGGCTATGGTATTTTACAGTTACTTCAAACAGTTATTTTACATAATTAAGAACAAAGTAGCAATTTATGATGCTGCTGTTGCTAACATTTACTGAACACTTACTGTGCCAGGGAGTCCTAATTGTTTACAGGTATAGCTCATGTCTCAAACTAATCCCATTATTCTTTCTTTCTTTCTTTATTTTCTTTTTTGGGCTGCAGAAACTGACACAGAAAGGTTAAGTAACTTAGCACAGTTACAACTAATGAATGGTAAGTAATGAAGCTAGGTAGGATTTAAGTCCAGGGGTCTAGCTCCAGAGCCAATGTTCCCACCAACACAAAGTATTTCCAAGATGTATTTTTAAGTGTGTGTGTGTGTGTGTGTGTGTGTGTTGGGGGGGGTGAAGGAGGTGGGTGGGGGAATGCAGAACAATATATATGATGTGGTAAGATTTATAATGAAAAAAATACAAGTTCATACTTATCTGCATAGACTAGCTCTAGAAGGATACACAGAAACTATAGTCCCTTTTGGATTTTACAACATTTGTATACATTACACATTTAGAAATTAAGTTCATGATAAAGAAAACACTGAAATCAAACATTATACTAAGATTCTTAGTGTGAAATAGCATAAAAAGCACTAGATTTAGACATGTGGGTTCTACTCCTAGTTTCGCTGGTAGCCCTAGTAAAAATCACAATCTCTTAATCCAGGGGTCAACACACTCTTTCTGTAAGGGATCAGATAGTAAATACTTTATGGTTTGCAGGCCATATTGTAAGCAGAGAGGGTAGTGGGTCCCTGGAGAAAGAGAACTAGCATGTCTTTCTCCACATAAGAGAAGCCATTTTTGGCCTAAGCCATTTTGTGCTCTAAGCTTGGCCACAGTGCCTGCTCTTGAACAGGTCTCAGTAATTAATGATCTTAAGGGAAGTAAGGGAATGCAGGAACAAAGGAAAAGCAGTCAAGAAACAATAGTCTAGTGGTAAAACAGAGTCCTAGTTCCTCCTCAAGGGAAATATATAACAATCTGATACCGTCTTTAAGTTTCTCCATCCTCAGGTGGAGGATGGAAATGACTATGTTGACCCCTGTGACTTCAATCAACTAACGCTAGGACTCTGTCGACCCTGGCCCCAATTCTATGCTGAATTCTCCTCTGCTCAAGCCCCTTCATGAATATGCTTGTACCCTTAGCTTAAAGCTCCCGCAGTTTTGCTGTTCCGCGTGACCCTGCTTTGGGGAAGATCCCCGGGGTTCTCCTTACTTGCTGCAAGTAATAAATCCTTCCTTCTCCTGATCTTTGGCTTGCTTGTGTCTTCTGGCTTGACATCCACCGAGAGGTGAACCTAGTTTTCAGGTAACAACATGGGTCAACTGCTCAACTCAGCCACAGTAATTCCAGAACAGCCAGGTAAGAATGAGTGGTGGCTGGGTGCCCATAAAACTTTCTTTGTGGATAATGAACTTTAACTTTTACACAATTTTCACATTACAAAATATTCTTTGCATTTTTTAAAATCTTTTAAAAGAATGTAACAATCTTTAGCCTGCAAGCCAGCTTTGGCCCAGGAGCCATAGTTTGCTGATCCTTGTCTTAAACCATTAGTGCAGCAAAGGAGTAGGACTCATTATCTCCAAGGTCACTTCCAATTTTATACTGATAATACTGTGAATGGAGAGATAAGGAAAAAAGGGGGGAAACAGATCTCCAATTATTTAAATAATCCAAATATTAAGTAAAAGTGATAATTTGGGTATTTCAAAAAAAAATTCAGGATTCAAGATTCAGATTATTTCAACGATGAACTGCCTGCCCCCTTTCTTTGACCCCCTCCTGTCTCCCTAAGGCTCAATTCCCCTGCTCCTGTAAAACGGGGGAAATTACTGCACCTGCTTCAAAAAGTACTTTTAAGGATTAAATGAGAAAATGCATATAAAGCACCTAGCATAGTTCCTGGCAAAGACAAAGCATTCAGTAACTGGCCATCTTTATAACAAAGAAGAGACTCCTAACGTTCTTCCTGTCTCTACCACCGCCCCCTGAAAAATTTGTTCTCCTCAAAGGAACCAGAATGATCTTCCATTCGGGCTCAAATTTTAAATGCCCTCATAGTTTCCCACTGTGTGAGAATAGCGTCTAAAGCGCTTACTTGATTTACAGAGCTCATGATGTGTCTCCTACCCACCTCTCGGCCCTCTGAGCTCCAGGTCCACAGGCCTTTCGGTGCCCCAAACGCGCCAAGCTCATTCCCACCCTAGCTGTTTCCCTTGCTGGGAACGCTCTTCCTGGCAGATAGTTCGGCTTCTTCCTATTTTCTGAGGGGTCTTAGTCAACCCGTTCCCCATTCTAACTTTATCCTCTTTCAGTTTCCTCCATGACACCTACGTATTTATTGTTTGCCGCCCCCCTCCACGACCCACCGCAAGGCAGCTTCCTGAGAGGAGAGTCGCCAGCAGTTACCGGGCACGTTCCTCAAATGAACTGATGAAAACAATTTGCAGAGCACCATGCATGCTCTGTGGTCAATACCTAGCAGAGTTAATTACCTGTGCCAGAACTCGCGGGAGGGCCACACTGTCCCCCAGCCCCGCTCTTTTCTGGCTACAGCTAAGAGCTCCAGATTCCGGGGGTTCCGGTTGGTGAACTCCGGGGCAACAGCTTCATTTCCTTCGGGGTCCGCTTCAGGCTTCACCGCTGGCTTGGAACTGGTCGACAGCACTGCCACCCGACATCCTAAGAACGTAAACAACCATACGTATCTTTAAAAAATGACGAAACGGGGCTTCCCAGGCGGCGCAGTAGTTGAGAATCCGCCTGCCGATGCAGGGGACACGGGTTCATGCCCCGGTCCGGGAAGATCCCACATGCCGCGGAGCGGCTGGGCCCGTGAGCCATGGCCACTGAGCCTGCGCGTCTGGAGCCTGTGCTCCGCAACGGGAGAGGCCACAACAGTGAGAGGCCCGCGTACCGCAAAAAAAAAAAAAAAAAAAAGACGAAACGGACAAAACAAAAATATGATCTAACTTGTCTCCATCCTCTCCCCCTCAGTCTTCGCGCCCTGGAAGGGGGACAAAAGGTATGTTCGGTCACAGAGTGTAGTCATCACAGACCCTGGTCAATTTTCTACTAGTGTCATCACGATGCTGTTAGCTCGTTTAGTTTTCGATGGTATATGTTGAATGCAAAAGACGACCTGCATGTGCATATTGTGCTGACCCTGGGGAGTAATCTGAGAGACGTGGGAAGATGAAATTACCGGGGTTCCTGCAAACCGACAACAGCTCCCAGAACCCCGACCGAAGCGCCATTGCTGAGGGGAATCGTAGCCAAAACCTCGGAAAGACCTCGCCTCCTCTCCTCACCGACGTCCCAGCGGCTCGCCGGCCGCAACCATATTAACTTAGGAAAAGACCTTAGGAGAACGTAAGGGCATCGACGCCTCGAACCCGAACAAGCCCCCTGCCGCTGAATGGCGGATAGGGCAATCCGTCATCTCCGCTCTTCCAATCAGCGCTTACGCTGGGGCGCACGCAGGCGCCGGATTCAACCAACCACCTCGCAGCAACGCGCTTGGTGGTTGGCTCACGGTCCGTTAAGTCGGGCCGAGCTCATCGGGGACGTCCCGCGTCCAACACACTGCCTGCATTTCGTTGCGTCATTTGGGCCCTGGGGTCGCAAAGCGTAGACCGATCATTGTCGGACACACGCACGGAGACACACACGGACAGGCCATTTGGGCTCTGGGAGGACGGGGCAGCGCGAGATGCAGTTTTCAGAAAGGGTGGTTGTCGCTTTCCCACATGACCCATGAAGCTTATACCCGTGAGCCCGGGAACAAAGCCTGCTACTTGTCGCGTGCTCTCCTAGCTAGCTCATACATTTAAGTAAAACAAGAACGCCGATTTACACACCCCCAAGTAAGACTCGCTCAGAAGCCCGGCTCTACCTTACACGGCTCTACCCCGCCCCCCCCCGTTCCGTCCCAGAACTCCGCCCTACCGACCACCTTTTCTAGAAGGCACTAGAATGTGCAAACGCGCACGCGCAATTTGTGCGTAGTAGGGAAAACTTCGGTCCGGCGCCCTCTTCCTCCAGCGGTCCGAGATACTGACTTCCGCCCTCCTACCTTCGCGCCCTTCTCATTCGCTCTCTAATTGAGCGAAAGTGCTGGATCCGCCCCCTTCAGGGTCCTCACTTCCTGCGCGTTCACGATTCTCCACCCTCCTCCCCATTTTTCTTTCCCGCCCTGCCCCGCGGCCCGGCCAGGGAGCTGGGAGGAGTGGAATTCCCAGCAGCTCCCGCGGCGTAGCTCAGGCCAGTTCCACGCAGTCGCCGCAGCTGTGGCCGCCGCCCGGCCCAGGAGCAAGACGCTTGCTGCCCGCGGTGTGAGTGAAACTCGACGTGTGCCCTGCCGCGAAGATGGAGGGGCCCTTGTCCGTGTTCGGGGACCGCAGCACTGGGGAGGCGATCCGCTCCCAGAATGGTAAGGGCGGGCGAGGCCTGCGGCGGGCCCGCGGCGGTGCGCCACCCTCCCCTGCCTCGCTGGGGCCGTGGCTGCCGTGCTCACGCCTTCCCTTCTCTCCCCAGAAAGAGCCCCCCGGGTGGCACGGGCGGCGTCTCCGACCCGCGGCGGGTCTCGGCGCTTCGGGGCGGCAGCGCCCTCTTCCCGGAGCGCGGCATTCCCGAGGGCGCAGCGCGGTTTTAACTAGAGCTGCCCGGATGCTGCGGTCGTGAGGCTGGCGAGGCGCGCCCCGACCTGGAGAGCGGGCCCCGCGCACCGACACGTGCCGCCGTGCCTCGAGTCCCAGAGAGCCGGCTGCCCTGCGCCCTTTTGTCTTGATGCTAATCAGGAAGGGTGTCCACCGCAATCTCTGGGTCTCCTTTTAGGGCCATTCACCAGGAAGAACTGGCTTTAACGGCTCGTTTTACTGAGGGGCGAATGGCCATCAGCCACTCTTCAAGACGACTTGCCCGTGGTCCCCCTGCCGATTCAGTCCGTACCCCACCTGTCGCTGACCACTTCTTGTAACAAAGCTAGCTGACGAAGTTTTTGTTGAATGTTAAATGATAAACACATTTTATCTAGTAGATTTTAACCGCTTAAAGCATTGTTGAGATGGTTTACACTTCAGAGGTCACGAATGCCAGTCCCTCGTACTGTTATTTGATAGATTCCTATTTTTGTCATGAACAAATTTGAAGTATAGTCAGAACCTTTGGATTACCGCTTTTTTGATTCACAAAGTCTTGTTAATTTTAATAGAACTTTTTTTTTCTTAAACCTGCCAGAGTCTGAAGGAAAAGGCTGATACGTATCTATTTCTGTTCTGTGTGGAGTGGCAGAATCGGAAATGTCGAAGAGTAGATTATGTTTTAATTTTATGAGACAATAAAGTGGGTACTCTACAACACTTGGCGTCCCCTTGGCAGTTGAATTCAGACTGTGTGTTACTAGCCACTCCCCTCCCCATATTAGACTTTTAAGAGCTAATTTTCAAATTGGGATGGATTTGTAGATTTGAAAAATTCAGAGGCTGTTGCATGTTACTTACTTCTTTTAGGCTGAAATGATTGTCCTTGGAATCAAGGATTTTCTAATTTCTTTCTTTCATTTCTGCAGTCATGGCTGCAGCTTCGATTGCCAATATTGTGAAAAGTTCTCTTGGTCCAGTTGGCTTGGATAAAATGTTAGTGGATGATATTGGTGTAAGTATATCTAAACATCGTGTTAGTGACTTTAAGGGAAAAAAACGGTTCATAAACACCTTGCTTTGTAAATTCTTTGTTTTTATCAGGATGCTAGTGTTGAAAGGTATACCGAAGGTGAATGTATCATAACGGGGTTGTTCTAACTTAGGCGATATTCTGTTTCTGTGGGTGATTATGTCAGTTTTTCTTTCCCGGGAAATTTCTTAGGATGTAACCATTACTAATGATGGTGCGACCATCCTGAAGTTACTGGAGGTGGAACACCCTGCAGCCAGAGTTCTTTGCGAGCTTGCTGACCTGCAAGACAAAGAAGTGGGAGACGGAACTACCTCCGTGGTAGGTAAAGACTAATGGACTAATGGCTAAATACTAGTATACCTTTTAAAATCAAACTTTCAGAAAGTGAAGCCAGAGGTAAGTCATTTATTTTGGGGGTAGTGGTTCAGAAACAAAATTTGAAGACTTGTGGTTATAGCTAGTTTGTACAATTCAAGTAGAAAAGAAACTTAAGAGATAATTTAATATAATCCTCACTTTAAATGTTTTTGCGAGTTTTACGAATTTTTTCTCAGCTATTATTCATGCATCATGCAGAATTTTTTTTAATGGTTTCTTTTTAAAGGAAAAAAAAGTGTCTTTTTTTTCTCCTCCCCTCACAGCCTGAGGCCCAGGAATTCCTAAAACCATACCAGTTTTTTAAAAACAACATGTTTTTATATTTTAAAGGCTAACAAGTGATCTCATGAATTCAAATGGGAGTTTGAGAAAGTTTGTAAACACGATCAGTAACATGATTTAAACTCCTTGAAGATCACCCAGCACCCTGATGTAGTAGAAACACTATTATTTGGTGAGGAGCAAATAATAATTTGCTGCAAAGAAACAAGCAGTGGTTTGTGGTAGAAGATGGTTGTTTCTAGATTAAACTTTAAGCCATGGAAGAATTAAATCTACCTCTTCTAAAATAATGATAATGGTCTTTGTTAAGTAACTTGTTTATGATAACATAGTTTTTAAAGTATAACTATAATTTCCCCCAAAAGATGCAGACTAAATTTTTTCAAAGTTTTTTTAATTAAAAAATAATTTTTGGTGTACTTAGAAGGATGATTTTTAAAATAATAACGTAAAATAGTACAGATCAAGAATTCCCTGGCGGTTCAGTGGTTAGTACTCCGCACTTTCACTGCCGAGGGCCTGGGTTCAATCCCTGGTTGGGGAACTAATATCCTGCAAGCCTTGCACAGCCAAATAAATAAATAGTACAGATAATCTGAGTGGTCGGGCTCTTCATTTAGCTTATGTTGAGCACTTCATCTTGAAGAGTAATGGATGTGTCTCCTATTGTTGTACTGACTCTTATCTGGCTTTAGCTATTTGCATATACAATACCGTGTAGGGGTGTCTTTTTTTCTGGTTTCTAATAAGCAGTTATGCATTTCACCACTGTTACCATTCTGGTTCTTAATATCTGATGCGTGTTAGTGTTGTTTGTACATATGTGTTGCACTTAATGAATGTCAGGCTATTGTGAGAGTAATGGATGTTTTCTCTGCAGGTTATTATTGCAGCAGAACTTCTAAAAAATGCAGATGAACTTGTCAAACAGAAAATTCATCCCACATCAGTTATTAGTGGCTATCGACTTGCTTGCAAGTAAGATTGTTTACATTCAGAGAAAATTTTATATATTATTTAATGTAATAGTTGCCAACAGTCTGTTCTTTAAATGTTTCAATTAATGACTAAATCTTACTTTGAAAAACTTGTATTTTACCATTTAAGTAAACATTTGAAGTAGGAAGTTGGGCCAGTATCCTTTTCTTCCCATTTGACTACCACGTTATCTCCTAATAATAGATTTAGTGGCTATGCTTATGGGATAGATTAAAATTGCCGTGATCTGAAGAGGGAGGATTATTTGTGTCCTCCTCCTATATGAAATGGCTGAACAGAAAATTGATGCCTCTGACATCCTGACACAATGATAAAGCAAAAATTTTGAGTAGTGAATTTATGTTTTCTTCCCCACACTTCAAACAGGGAAGCAGTGCGTTATATCAGTGAGAATCTAATTATTAACACTGATGAACTTGGAAAGGATTGCCTGATCAATGCTGCTAAGACATCGATGTCTTCCAAAATCATTGGAATGTATCCTTGTGATGGTCCAGTAAAGTGTAGGCTTTTTTAAAAGTAAGACCCTGTGTTAGTTTTTCTGCCAGATGATGCTGTATTGAAATTGCCTGTACCCTCCTTTCCTAGGGGGAAAAGTAATACAAAGTATGTGTAAAGTAGTATGCAGATAAATAGTACTCTAACACTTTGGTGGCGTATATAATGGTTGTTTCTTTGATGAGATTGCTAAAAGGAAGTGCCTTTGAATTACCCTTGATTTTCATGTGCACCTGCTGTCCATCCCGAGTCTCTTGTTCTCCTTAACTGTTGGCTTAGAAGTGGAGATTTCTTTGCTAATATGGTGGTAGATGCTGTACTTGCTGTTAAATACACGGATGTCAGAGGCCAGCCTCGCTATCCAGTCAATTCCATTAATATTCTGAAAGCCCATGGGAGAAGTCAGATGGAGAGTATGCTCATCAATGGCTATGCACTCAACTGTGTGGTGGGATCCCAGGGTAAGGCTTATGGTTTGATTTGGTCATGTAACGAGAATACTAAAGGATAAAGTTAGCTGTTTGTGGATTGTATAACTACATTTTCAGGTGAACTATCCAGGATGTGCATTTACTGTTCTTTAGTGAAGCCTAGAGAAAAAGGAAATGGTCCATAATGTTGCCAATTCCTCTTTTGTAATTTAATTACATATAACTTAAGAAAAATGTAAATTAAAAGAAAACACGTGTGTTTAATGCCATTTAAGTGTTTGTTTCTAAGGGTAAAAGTAATAAAATCTAAATTCGTTTACATACAACAATTTAAAATCTCTGCAGATCTCTAAGGATAGGTGTATTTTATAAAAGGTAACAATGTTATAGTTACTGTAAAGGTACTTAACGTTACGTTCAATTTTAGGCATGCCCAAGAGAATAGTGAATGCAAAAATTGCTTGTCTTGACTTCAGCCTGCAGAAAACAAAAATGAAGCTTGGTGTACAAGTGGTTATTACAGACCCTGAAAAACTGGACCAGATTAGACAGAGGTATGTTGAGAGATTCATTTTTGACCTTGAACAGGGGGTGTTTGTAAAGTACCCTTTTTTAGAGCGGGTGACAGTAAACTAAAAAGAATGAGTGGTAGGTCTAATAGGTAGCAGGGTATGAGGATTAGGCAAGTAGTTTTTTTGTTTTCAAGTGAGTGTCTTGGAGGACTTTAAATATTAACGTTTTTAACCAAAGTTTTAACTGAAGTCAAACTATATTTTACCCAAACTGCTTGGAAAATTAGAAAACGT